AAAGAGTGAATAATTTAGAGGCGGCCTTAAACTCCAAAGCTGAAGAGCTTGTTGCTGTCGGGGTGAAGTATGCCCAATTGGAGGAGAAGCATAAGAGCACCATTGAGCATAATAGAATTTTCAGCTCTGCTATCCGTGACCTCGATGTCAGCCTCTTGTCCATTAGAACCACGCGGTAAAATCTTTCTGCTGAGGTCGATCAACTTAAAGAAGAACTTCAGCACCGAACGGCTTCCCTCATTATTGAAAAGGCATATGCTATGTATAGCATGAGGAGAGAAACCTTGGAAGAGGCCAAAACATGTGTCATTGACTTTGATGCCGAAATCGCTAAGGCCCGTGAGCTAGAGTTAGCTGTAAAAAGGGGTCTTCCGGCCCGGCCTGATGCTACCAATTCTTCTGGTTCTAGTTCTGAGTTCTCGAGAACTGAAGAGGAAATGGAAGGCGATGATGCTGAAGGCCAAAATGACAAAGGCGAAAATATCGAACTGACGGTAGATCCACCCACTTCTCCTGGGGGCGTAGATGCTTCTCCTCCTCCGTGTTCCGGAGATGCAGCAGCTTAATTTTTGCTTTCCTTTTCAAACTTTTGTACTTGTGTTGTTTGGCACATTCATTTTAAATAAAAACAATTTTTCGTTCAAGTATCATATAAGTTTTCCTTTCTACGTACTTTTGTTTGAATATTTGTACAAGTTTGCTCTTTGCGTCTTTTTTCATTTAAGTATTTGCGCAAGCTTTACTACTTGTGTGTCTAATTGTGCAAGGGTGTCTTTTCCCGCGAATGCATTTTGATTTTGGGCACTGGTTCTTCCGAAATCAATCCTTTATCATGAGGGTTTTCATAAGAGAGGGCCCTATTATATTTACGGTGCTCTTGAAGAGGACGTCTCCTGTTCATTATGGCACTAGCATTTGAAGTACTTGTTTAACTTTCAAATGACAAAATCAATTCATCGTTCATACAAGAAACATGATATAAACAAAAGTACTTTACTTTATTTGTTCTATTTTCCAAAGTACATAAGCATTCGTTGTGCTAAAACGAAATGGTCATTTCTTGTGGTAACTTGTACAACTTGTTTCTACGGGGCTGGCCGCGTAGTCCCCAATCCTGATAATACAACTATGTTTCGGATTTCGTATTTCGGTCGAAGTGGCAGTCACTGTTGTCGCATCCTCATATCATTCCCCCCAATGTTTGAATGCGAAAAATGCAACTTTGAACACTGGAAGTTTTACACCTTCAAGGATTCCACTAGTGAATTGCTAGATAATCTCCAGTTCAATAACAAACTTCGCTTCCCCTTAGGAATTTATGCTATCGAGCCAAAGATTATTTAACAATCCCCCAGTGGCTTGCACTTGTGAACGGTCGGCTAATCTCTGCTCAACAGCAAACTAAACTTCCCAGTAGGAACTTTGCTATCGAGCAAAAGACTATCTAATCGCTCCGTAGTGGTTCTTTGCTTGTGTGCCTTGTCATTTAAAGGTCTTATTGCTAAAGCTCCCTTTGTAGTATGCTTTCCGTTGTTGCCTCGTTAAAAAGCTTGCCAGGAAAACCCAATTGGGACAAAAACTAGACAAAGGGAAAAAGAGTGGAGCACATACTTTCAGTACAAGTGATGTTCATCAGCAATACTATCTCTTGAGGTGCACCACGTTCCAGTTGCTTGGCAACTTTTCTCCATCTTGATTCTCTAACTCGTATGACCCTTTTCCGATGATAGCTGAAACTCGGTAGAGGCCTTCCCAGGTTGGACCTAGCTTCCCCGTGTTGAGTTCCCGGGTGTTCTGAGTTACTTTCCTTAAAACCAAGTCTCCTAATTTAAAATAACGGAGGTTGGATCTTTGATTATAATATATCTCTATTCTCTATCTTTGGGCTGCCATCCTTATATGCGCCAAGTCCCTGCGTTTGTCGAGCATCTCCAAATTGACTAACAATGCTTCCTTGTTTTCTTCTACGTTTGTTCGGAAATAACTCAGGGTAGGTTCACCTACTTCCACTGGGATCAGGGCTTCTGCCCCTACACAAGAGAAAAAGGAGTCTCCCCCGTGCTCGATTTGGCTGTTGTTCGATATGCCTATAGTACACCTGGCAGCTCTTCGAGCTATTTTCCTTTAACTGCTTCCAATCTCTTTTTGAGATTTTGTATAATCACCTTGTTCATTGATTCTGCTTGGCCGTTTGCGCTCGGATAATAGGGTGATGATGTAATTCTCTTGATTTTCAAGTCTTCGAGGAACTTTGTGACCTTTGTGCCTATAAATTATGGTCCGTTGTCGCAGGCTATCTCTTTTGGTATCCCAAATGTCCAAATAATATTCTCCCATGAGAAATCTACCACTTCACGTTCGTCGATCTTTTGATAAGGACCTGCTTCAACCCACTTAGAAAAATAGTCAGTTAAAATCGAATGAAATCTTACCTTACCGGGGGCCGGAGGCAGTGGTCCGACTATATCCATTCCCCACTTCATGAACGGCCATGGTGACAGAACTGAGTGCAATGGCTCTGTCGGTTGATGTACCATCGGTGCATAGCGCTGATATTTATCACATTTTTGAACATAAGCTTTGGCATTTTGTTCCACCCGAGGCCAATAGTATCCAGCCTTTATTAATTTTAGTACTAAGGAATCTGCGCCTGCGTGATTTCCGTAGATCCCTTCATGGACTTCTTGCATAACATAATTAGCTTCAGAGGCTCCCAAATAATAGGCCAACGGGCCTTGAAATGATTTTCTGTATAGTTGACCCCCTTGAAGCTATAGCAAGCTGCTTTAGAGCGTAGTGCCCGAGATGCCTTAGGATCTTCAGGCAGTTTCCTGTGTTCGAGGTAGTCAATGATTTTGTTTCTCCAGTCCCAGACCAATTTAGTCATGTTTACCTCGTAATAGCTATCCGCGTCCAGTACCGAGTGCATAAGCTGTACGACCATACTAGAGTTCGATCATTTCATTTTCATAGACGAGCCAAGGTTAGCTAGTGCATCTTCTTTTGCATTTTCTTCCCTCGGGATATGCGTGATTGACCACTCCTGAAACCGAGCAAGCAGAGCCTGAACCTTCATTACGTATTGTTACATGTGTTCCTCCTTGGTTTCGAAGATCTCGTAGACCTGATTTACCCCCAACTGGGAGTCGCATTTGATTTATATGACCTCGGAGTCCAGTCCCCGGGAAAATTCGAGCCCTGCAATCAAAGCTCCATACTCCGCTTCATTGTTAGTCAAAGGAACAGTTCTTATGTCCTGCCTTAGGGTTTTCCCCGAAGGCATGGTTAATACCATGCCCAGCCCGAACCCTTTCACAATGGAGGCTCTGTCCGAGAACAAGTTCCAAACTCCTGATGTCGATTCCGACACCATTACTACTTCTTTAGTAGCCAGAGGTAAAAGTCCTGGACTGAAATCGCCCACAAAGTCGGCCAAAACCTGTGACTTAATATCAGTCCTAGGTTTATATTCTATGTCAAATTCACTCATTTCGACGACCCATTTGGCTAGCCTACTTGAGAGTTTAGGCTTATGAAGAATATTCTGCAGGGGAAAAGTGGTCACCACAGCTATCGGGTGACACTGGAAATAAGGCCTTAGCTTTCGAGTGGTGACTACGAGGGCTAAGGCTAATTTTTCTAGATGTGGGTAGCTAGTTTCTGCTCCCGTTAAAATTTTACTAACGTAGTAAATAGTAGACTGTCTACCTTCATCCTCACTGGCCAAAATGGCATTTACCGCCACCTCAGATACCGCTAAGTAGATCAATAATTGTCCGCCTTCCTCCGGTTTTGATAGTAACAGAGGACTTGACAAATATCTTTTCAAATCCCTCAAAGCCTGCTGACACTCAAGGGTCCATTAGAAGTTGTTCTTCTTTTTTAGGAGCGAAAAGAAATGATGGCATTTCTCCGAAGATCGTGAAATGAATCTGCTCAAAGTGGCCAGTCTCCCTGTTAACCATTGAACATCATTTACGCTTGACAGCTGATCCGGGATGTCTTCGATGGCTTTAGTTTTATCGGGGTTAACTTCAATCCTCATTTGTGACACCACGAATCCCAGGAATGTACAGGAGTTGACCCCGAACGCACACTTCTCGAGGCTAAGCTTCATGTTATGCTTCCTTCATATGTCAAAAGTTTCTTGCAAGTGTTTAAGATGATCACCTGCGCTCAAAGACTTAACCAGCATATCATCTATGTAAACTTCCATGGTTTTTCCTATTTGTTTTTTCAAACATTTTGTTCACGAGCCGCTCATATATGGCTCCAGCGTTCTTTATCCTGAAGGGCATCACATTATAGCAACATGTGCTGAAGTTTGTTATGAACGAACTTTTTTTCCTGATCCTCCGGGTTCATCTTGATTTGGTTTTAACCAGAGTACGCATCGAGAAAACTCATTAACTCCTGCCCAGCCGTTGCATCAATCATTTGATCAATGTTTGGCAATGGGAATGAGTCTTTTGGGCACGCCTTATTTAAATTCTTATAATCTACGCACATGCGAAATTTATTGTTCTTCTTTGGAACTACTACTATGTTAGCTAGCCAATCAAGATACTTTATCTCTCGGATTGAACCGATATCAAGCAAGCAAGTTACCTCATCTTTGACAAATTTGTTTCTGACCTCGGCAATAAGACATTTTTTCTGCCTTACCAGAGGGATGCTGGGATCCAGGCTTAGCTTGTGCACGGTCACTTCTGGCGGGATACCTGTCATATCCGCTTGTGACCACGCAAAACAATCGACATTAAATTTAAGGAATTCAATACATCCAGACCTGAGCTCAGGGTGCAGGCATGTCCCTAAGTGGAACTTCTTTTCCAAGAACTTTTCGAACAATGCGACTTGTTCAAGTTCCTCTGCTGTAGATTTTGTTGCGTCCGTCACTTCTGGTACCTGAAAATACCTTGGTACCTGATAGGATTCCGACGAGTCTTCCCCTGGTTGATATTTCTTGGCTCGGGAGCAGGCGCCGGTTCCTATAATTGCTATGTTGCAGGCTCCTTCCCTTTGCTACCGGAGATTGAGATTGCATTCATCTTCCTTGCTGCCGTTTGGTCACCTCTTATTTGTTTAAGTCTCTCGAAAGTTGGGAATTTCAGCAGTTGATGATACGTTGATGGCACAGCCTTTATTTCTTGCAACCATGGTCTCCCTAGGATGATGTTGTAACCCATATCACCATCCACCACCTCGAAAAGGGTCGTCTCCATCACCCCTTCAGCATTCGTGGGCAGCAGGCTCTCTCCTATGGTTATCACTCTTGCTAGATTGAACCCGGCGAGGAGCTTTGTGGTCGGAATGATGCTTTTGGTGAGCTTGACTTGCTCCAACACCCTCCATTGTATAATATTGGCCGAACTTCCTGGATCCACCAGAACACGTTTAATTCTAAAATCTAAGACATTTAGAGAGATTACCAGGGTGTCGTTATGCGGTAGCAGCAGTCCATCCATGTCTTCCTCCGTAAAAGTAATATCGTCTCCAGCGACTTCCCGGAGTCTCTTGATGTGGGTCACTGACACCTTTGTCTTTTTTGCCGTCAAAAATGTAACCCTGTTAATCTCATTCCCCCCGAAAAATCATGTTGATCATCAGGCATAAGGGATCTTCTACTGCTTTCTAAGGCTCCGCGTTATCACGATTGCGACCGTAGTTGTTTTTAGTCTGGTCACTTAAAAATTCTTTGAGATGGCCGTTTTTCAGCAATTTCGCCACCCCTTCGCGCAGATGCTGACATTCCCCAGTCCGGTGACCGTTTGTCCCGTGGTATTCGTACCACAACTTAGGATCCCTCTGGCTAGGATCGGATCTCATTAGTTTTGGGAACCGTGCTTCTTTAATGTTCCTCATAGCCGACACCAGCTCTACTGCACTGACATTGAAGTTGTATTCGGAAAGTTTGGGGTAGGAAGAATCTTGAGATTTATTCTGTTGCTGCGCTTGGTTTGTACAGTAATTGTGTGTACTTCTTTGAGTTTGACCCTTTCAGCATTGGTGGTGCGCCCGAAATTTGATCCATTCGGGCATTTACTTTCCTCATAAACCGCATGAGTTGGATTTCAAAGGGATCACTCTCGTTATTGTGATCAGATCCGCTCCCCCCGGCCCCATCGGAGCCGATCTCGTCCCTCAAAGTGTTGTTGTCAAACCTCTGCGTTGTTTGATTTGTGGGAGCACCAGGAAGAACTAGACCTCGTCCATTCGCATTGTTGGAAGCACCCGACAACGCTTGCTTCAGCTCCGTCATGAGCTTATCCTGTCATGTGAGATGACCTATAATGGCCTCTTGTTGCTCCTACAAGACCCTGACTGCTTCGACAACGTGCTCTTCTTCAACATCATCAGGAGTCGCGCCCCAAACATGTCACGGATACCTGCAGCCGTGGACCGGCATGGCCTTGTTCCCCTTGTTGTGGGTATCACTGATAGAATATTCGTGTTGAGGCTGATTTTCTTGAGCCTCAACGTTGTGTGTGTTGTCAACACCATTATCTGCCATTTTCAATGACTTTTATTGAGGACAAAGAATCAAAAAAGTTAGTAATAGAAGCAAGGATCAACTCAATTACACAACTGTCTATGCCCCACGGTGGGCACCAAACTGTTTACCCGTAAAACTGTATAATTGAATTTGTACATGATTTATATACAAGTGAATTAATTTGATTAAAAAATAACAGATAATTTAGACAAAAATATAAGACTTAGCTTTAAAATTAAGATAAACGGTAGATATCTTAGTTCCAGGCGTAGAGCTACCGGGAGCAATAATAACAGTGCAAGTAAGCAGGAAAATAAAATGTTATTTGAGCTTTTGATGAAATATAGTATATGCTTGTGAGAAAATTCGTGTCCTTACAATGATGATAGAGCTCACTATTTATAGTTACACCTAGGAAACAAGGTCCTAGGATTAAGCTCCTCTTTAATGACAATTACGAGGGCCATTGAAGAATGTATAACGGTGGGCAGTGAATGTTATATTCTCTGTGACGAATCATGCACTTAATGCTGTAGAATATTCTTCATTGAATGCTACCAGATGACGACATTTATTGTGTCTTTATAAGTATCATTCTCTCTGATGACAGGCGAGATCATTACCTTCGGGTTTTGTTATCTTCTGTCTTCGATTCCACGGGTCGCTTTCTCATGTGATCATTAAATATGAACATAGTTTACCTTATATATTAGGTTGTTCCCGTTCTCATTCAACAGGCGGGTATTGTTTTCCTATACTAAAAGCTAAGGGAATAAATTGGAATTCACTCCTCGATAATTTCAAACGTATTGTGTTTTCTAACCAACCATTAAATGGGACTCGAATTTTGAACAATATAAAAATAGTAGTACTGTATAGAATATTGACCAAAAATACTAGTGCGTGTGGGGAAGACAATAAAATGAGGGGAATGGTGAAACAAGTAGTGAGTAATTGAACTAGTGCGTGTGGGGAAGACAATAAAATGAGGGGAATGGTGAAACAAGTAGTGAGTAATTGAACTAGTGCGTGTGGGGAAGACAATAAAATGAGGGGAATGGTGAAACAAGTAGTGAGTAATTGAAATGTGAGTACCACGTACCCATCCCAATCCACATTCAAAATCTAGGAGATGTGGTATGGTATCCCCACATTAAATAGCAAATGGGGCCATCCTCGTCAGCTCCACGGGGTACCCAGCTAATGGGAACTCTTTTCTGTGGGTAATGTCGGGGCTTCCATTTGTTTCCAACTTTCCATAAACAACTGCGCTATTACGAGTATCCTTGACACCATGGGAATAGCTCCATTTTATTTTCTTGACAATCCATTATTAATACTAGTATTTTATAAATGGCCCATGTTGCCCACTCTCCTTCTCTATTCTTGAATTAGTCAGAGTTCTAAAATTAATGAAATTTTTTTTAAAAAAAAGAGTCAGAGTTCAGAAAAAGATCGCACTCCAAGAGGGTATAATATAAGTAGTCTATTCTGATGCAATGATCAGTGGTTGATTTCATGCCTTGAACCCGTAATTTATAGATCACACAAAGACAACTTTAGCATTGCTCCAAATTTATCCTTCTAAATGTATATTTATGAATGGAAATCAACTCAGCGTTCACATGAATTTAATCCACTCCATAAATCCTCAAAAGGAAGAAGCATGTCTAATTTCATTCATAATGTTAAGATTTTTGGCGCTGAACTTCCGAGAAGAATAACTAAGAAGAAGATGTACATAGGAAAAGGTGAAAGAACTGGATATTTCTAATTGTGCACGCTGTAGGGTTATGTCACGGGTTATTGGTTACGCCCCAAATGTAACAATTTGCAAAGCAAGCATTATTCTTCACAAAATATATATAAACAAGTGACATTAATTAAGGAGAAAAAGAAAAGCTAGCAAAAGTTATGGAGAACTACGTGTTTGAAAATGAGAAGGTGGGAAAAGGTTGCCTAAGTAAAATTGTTTAACAAAAGATCGAAAAGGACATTGAGAAAAAGTTACGGAGAACTCATGTTTGCTTTTTAAGTCTCCAACGACCATCTTGATTCCAACCAAGTCCACAAATAGCAACAAGTCCTAAAGGGCATAAAATAAAATTAAGTTGAAAACTAAAATTAAACCTAGCTAATGACTTAAGAGAAAATTATTGGGATTTTTACATAAATAGCCGATTATATTTATTATTTTTTAATCGATATAGATAGATTATATATTATTATACACATTATATATCATCTAACTATTTTTTTTAAGCAATTGGACGGGCGGAGGTTATTTATATTAAATTCTTCAATTCTTCTTTCTGTAAAGCTGGACTCTTGTCGGCGGACGCACATGGTATTTAGACTTTGTAAAACTTTGAAAGAGCGACAAATATGTCTTCTTAAAGCTTTCAAACATGGAATCAATCGCCGCCATGTTTTGGTTTACAAATGCGTTTTGACACTTAGCTGTCGACTAATTTATGTTGAACGCTATCCTGGACTTGCGTTGAGGATATTTGAATTGAATCTTTATACTATAAATTTCCATCAATAGCCTTTTCTATTTAAATTCTTGTAATAATGTCAAGGTGGATGTCAAGCTACAAGTTTTGAAATTGGTTAAAAGATTTAATTGGGAATTGCTTGAATCACCTGTTAATGCGAGGATGGAATAAATTAACTACGTAACAAATAGCTAAACACATAATACTAATTATTCCTTCGTCGAGGGTTGAAGAAGAGGAGAAAATATTTTAGAACGGTAATGGATAAGATAAAACGGTAAACGAAAAGATAAGCATAATGTATTTCATTTGCTTAACAAAATGACTATGTTTGATCCAATTGACAGATTGACCAACTATGCAAGAGCTTATCCAAAAAACACCCAGCCCTGCTTATGGAAAACCCCAATTAATAATATTTACATTCACAAAACAAATTTGCTCCCAAAAAATATTGTTGCAAACTTCTATTCAGATCTCCAATTTAGGCCATCAACAACTCGTTGCTTTCTTTTAGCCCCAGATTATTATCAAAATTGCTGGATAGATCCACACCTGATAGCACAAAATTTTCCAATCTATCCTTTTTCGGATAATCCAAGGATTGATTTCTTGATAATTGACCAATTGAGGCTAAAGCTAACAGCTCAGACTCATCAAGCCCTTTTGCTGGACCAAGGCTACACCTATCTGTTCCGTACTTCCCTAATGCATCTTTGAATTTCTTGATCTGCATAATAACAAATTTGCTATAAGAAACTATAGGACTCCTATATTTTTGGTCTTTGAGAAACTAAAATTTCAAAAATCTATATATTTTTGGAGGATCCGATAGAGTGCGGCAGCATTTTGGGCAACATAACGAAAAAATAACAGGAGTTTTGTGTAACTTACTGTTGCATTAGTACAGCTGAAGCTACAGAGTTTGCCTTCTGCACCCCTATAGAATCTAAAGAAGGGCAAAACATGAATTCGAAGAGCATGACACATGGCTTTGAGTTCTTCATAGTTTACTTTGAGAAAAATTGCATCCGGGTTTGAATCAGCCAGTTGACATATCTAAAAACATTGAGAAAAAAAAGGTGAGATTTTTGTAACGCAAACAGGTGGAAAAGGAAAATAAAAGTCATCCTAGGTAAAATTAAACATACCTTAGGATGTAAAGTCCTGCAACCTCCACAACCAGGGGAATAAAAGTCAATAATGACCAATTTGTCACCAGCATTTAACAATGAATCAACAAGCTCCTTCGCTGAATGGATTTCTAGCATGTTGGGTTTTAGGGTTTTTTCCCACCATCTTTGAGCTTTGCTTACACATATTGATGCTTGTGCCTAATAGTCAAAAAAGATTCAATCTTTGAACCCAAAAAAGGCTAAATCAATACATAAAAGAGAAAGTTACTAAAAAAAGTTTTACATACATTAATGGAGACGGGTTTTGGAGTTTTAACATTCCAATGGCTCAAACCAATCTGATTCGGTACATCCAAAGATTTGCCCAGAAATTCATTGGGTGTTAAAGCTGTAATATTTAGAGCCCCAACCGAAGAGCGAACAGAAAAGCCTTTGTTTGTGTTGTTGAAAAAGCAATCGCAGGAACCAGAAACAGAAAATCCAGTTTTGAACGAACAAGCCATTTTTCTCTCCTAAAAATCTGAGGATTAGTCAAGAATTTAGCATCCAACAACAAATTCCCACAAAATCCACCGACCCTTTTGGATCAAGAATCAATTTCTTCGAATAGAACAAGATTAAAAGGAAAAAAATTGTCCGCTTTTTCAACAGGAAAAGTAACGATGTGTTCTTTTGGACCAGTATATGTTTTGGTGGTTGAGAGGTAAAAAGGGCCAAAATAGATTGTGGCTTTGTGTTTCTCTCTGAAACTTATAAAAAGAGGCGAACAAATTGAAGAAGAAAAGAATGGTGGGGAGAAAGAATTATTAAAGGTCAAAAAGTGAAAAGGAAAAGAAAAAGGATTAGGTGGGGTCAATGAGTCAGATTTAAACTGTGGGCTTTATCCATAAACAAATTTCCCCTTTCCTTTTCACTTTCTTTTTTCCTTAATAATAGATTAACAACTCCTAAATTTCTGATTTTGGATATAGTAATTGATAATGCAGGCTATGTGTCGGATCTGATTTGGGATGAGGAGAGGATTAAGGCTTTGTTTATTATTGTGCTTGCGTGTATTTGCGTGTATTTGCGTTGGCATTTTCTTTTTTGGTTTTTTGTCATGTTTTAAAATTTGAATTAATTGGATTTTTTTATTTTTTATTTTTGCCTAAGGGCTAATATATAAATAAAATTTCAAAAATGGATCAAATGCTTACCAGCTGTCCAAATCAAAAATCAAAATAGAAATTGCATGAAGCTACTAGCTATTAAAAAAGATAGAAAAACTAAAATCTAATGAACTAACTATTACTACATGATAAGTTGAATGTTTCCTTCTCCTATTAGTGTATGTGAATCCAATTGTCATTGGCAAATACCAAGCAGCACCTATCAAGCTCTCACAAGGCGCCAGGGTATATTGTCCATAGTCTAAAATAAATTCTAAACATCTTCACCGCAGAGTTGAAGTCCGTATCGTCCTTCAAGTGTCGCTACTATATGATTTTCATATGCAGTAGATTAATTTTATTCAAGTATTAATCATATGCTCACTCATCAAAATTAATTGGATTTAGATAAGTGTTTTTAGAAGAAAAATATCCAAAAGACGGGCATCTGGAGCTTCGGTGGAGGAGCTGATTATTGCCATTATCGGTTTAGGATTTTTGGCAGTAAGTCACTGCATTTTCACCGCGTAGCTGACTGTGTCCTTTGCCAGTTGGGCATATTTTGGATTTGGATAAGACCCCACCAAATCACTATTTACAAGGACATTATATACCGACAATATCGTATGTGGATGCACATTACTCTAGAAAAAAAAATGCAACATCTTTATTTACGTTACTCATACGCATTGTCACAATAAATAAGATTAAAATACATATATTATATTATTATAATTGATTCATAGTAACCAGAAAAGAGTTTCTTAGTAAACTTCGTTCTTTTTCCGTTTCTCGTTTTAAAATAGGAACAGTTGTTAAAGTGTATCAAGAAGTAGAAGATTAGAGAGAAGTGCTTCAACAAAACAAAATATTGCAATTGAAAGTTGAAGTGAAGTTTCAATTGTAACGACCCAAAATTCAATTAGTCGTGACGGCATATAACTTAATTCGCTAGGTAAGCCAGTTATCAACTATTCAATTTTAATGAAATTTAACAAGACAATTAAGTAAAAAAAATATCTAAATCTTATACATTCTCCAATGACTGGTAGTACAAATCATGAGCTTCTAAGATTAGAATATACAAAACTGGTATGAAATAAATACAACATCTGTTCGAAAATGTACATAAATAGATCTTTATAAATCTAAGGCTACTATGAACAAGAGGCAGCTACAACCGGAACGCGGTACATCTTCAAATTCAGCTCCCGTCAGTCTCAACAACGTCAGCAGCCAACATTTGCACGCAAGGTGTAGAAGTGTAGTATGAGTACAACCGCCCCCATGTACTCAATAAGTAACAAACCTAACCTTATGTTGAAAGTAGTGACGAGTTGGAACAAAGGTCGGGTCCAACACCAATAGCCAACAATAGTCCATAACAACGTAAAGCAAGTAACAAAAGAAGTAACTCAGAGATAAAATGCTCAGTTTAATCATGATTTCTGAAAATAGTTCTGCCTTTCAAGTATATCAGTGAAAACCCAAATCGTTTATCGAAGTTGCCAAAAATATGAGTAAGTTTGAAAATAGTAATTTTCCCAAAAATCCTTTCAACAATAAATAAGATGTTTCATTTTCTTTCCAGATAGTCAGTGTAAACTGCATCACCATGCCCATATGCCAATATATGTGAGAAGTCATGAATGACGTGATACTGTACAATATGAGGAAGATACATCTTTATGAGTGTATGTCATGTGTGCATGTCAATGCAATGTATCTCAGAGATGAACTCATGTACTCACACTCTTAGAGTACTCAATCTCATTGTCTCACACTTTCAACTCATCATGCTCAATCACTTAGTATCGTACATGGCCAATCCGGCCCAGGAAAGATTCATCCCGGAATATATACATCAACTGACCATCAGTTACCCAGTACTGAGTAGGGCCAATCTAGCCCGTGGGGAAGATCCATCCCCAGATATAAATGCTTCGGACAAAGATCCATGTCCAGGGAAGATCCATCCCTTAATATAAATCAATCACACTCACTGGGTATGTGTGTAGACTCCGGAGGGGTTCCTTCAGCCCAAACGCTAAAATCCGCACGGACAACTCACGTGCTATAATATCAATATCTCAAAATCAGGCCCTCGGCCTCACTTAATCATCAACCTCTCCAATCTCCCGGGCTCACAATGACATGAACTAACCCAAAATGATGATTTGATGTATCAATAAATAACAACAGAGACTGAAATATGATATGCAATGAATGAATATGACTGAGTATGACATTGCAATGTAAGCAAATAACTCAACAGCAGTAATTACCTCAATGAGTCCCAATAGAATAAACATGTATCCTAGACATGGTTTCTAATATGATTCACAGCTCGATAACTTTAGTACGTAGAGATTTCATAATTACAGATAAGTTCAGGTAACTATGCAGTACCACAGAAATAACGAAGTCATAGTTCACACAGTGCACGCCCACATGCCCATCACCTAGCATGTGCATCACCTCAACACCAAACACATAACACGTATAGTCAAGGTTCATACCCTCAGCTCCAAGATTAGAAGAGTTACTTACCTCGAACAAGACGAATCCAATGCCGGGCAAGCTAAACAATACTCCGAAAATTCTATTCCGCACGTATCAACCTCCGAACGCCTTCATATCTCCTAAATTCCATGCCAAATGATACGAAACTAGTCAAACAACGTGCAAATTAATCAAAATACACTCCAATGCTTGCAATTTAACAATTTATAAAAATTTCTAACTCCGCTCGAAAAATCGACAGTGGGGCCCACGTCTCGAAATCTGACGAAACTCACAAAATCCGACAATCCATCAAATTACGAGTTCAACCATACTAATTTTACTCAAATCCGACACCGAATTGGTATTCAAAACTCGAAAATTCGTTTTATGAAATTATAGAAATTTTCTTCGATTTCTCTTGAAGATTCGATAATCATACACCAAAAATGAAGATTAGTTAATGAAATATAATCATAAGGGAGTCAAGAACACTTACCCCAAGTTGTGTGGAAAAATTCTTCTCCAAAGTCGCCCAAACCGAGCTCCAAAATCCAAAAATGGATAAAAAATATTGAACCCTCGAATATAAGGCATTCTGCCCAGCGTTTCCGCATTTGCGGACACTAGGTCGCATTTGTGACCATCGCTTCTGCGTAACAAGCTCGCATCTGTGAGACAGCCTTGGCCAGCAGTGATCACTTCTACGATGTCCAGGACCGCTTCTGCGCGCAAAATTCCATATCTGCGGCTCCTGCCCAGCAGTGCTCAGTCCATTTCTGTGAAGGGTTGCTCGCTTCTGTGGGCCGAACCTGCGGTTCCTCATGCGCAGGTGCGAAGACACTAGCAATAGAAAAATTCTAGCATTTTTTTAAGTCCGAATTTGATCCGTTAATCATCCGAGGCCCCCGTGAGTTCAACCAAATATACCAACAAGTCCTAAAATATTATACGAACTTAGTCGAGGCCTCAAATCACATCAAAAAACACTAAAACCACGAATCATAACCCAATTCAAGCTTAATGAAACTGAGAAATCTCAACTTCTACATTCGATGCCGAAACCTATCAAATCAAGTCCGATTGACCTCAAATTTTGCTCACAAGTCATAAATGACATAACGGACGCATTCCAACTTTCAGATTCCGATCCCGATATCAAAAAGTCAACTCTCCGGTCATACTTCCAAACTTACATTCCCATTTTTAGCCAATTCAAGCCTAATTTTACTACGAACTTTCAAATAATTTTTCGGACATGCTCCTAAGTCCAAAATCACCATACAAAGCTATTGAAATCATCAAAACTCTATTCTGGGGTCGTTTACACATAGTCAATATCCGGTCAACTATTTCAACTTAAGCTTTAGCCCTTGAAACTAAGTATTTCAATTCATTCCAAAACCTCACCGGACCCAAACCAATTACCCCGGCAGTCATAAATAACTGTAAAGTATAAATTAAGTAGTAAATGGGGGGAACGGGGCTGTAATACTCAAAACGACCGGCCGGGTCATTACATTCTCCCCCACTTAAACATACGTTTGTCCTCGAATGTGCCAAGAGTTATTTTCAAGCCATCACATCACTATTCCATCTTGTCACACCCATACCCGGGGGTGATCCCACGCCATCCTATTCCATATAGGCGTGACAGTACAACATAATTGAAGATCATTACTTTAACTTTAGTCTGTAAAACTTAGGACCCAAATTTCCAACATCCAGAATTCTTTTCAAGACACGAATCTCACATCTGCACACTGTATCTGAACAAGCTGTATCAAGCCATAACCATAACCCCAGATATAATCACATAACATACTACACAACTCGCATGCTCGCAGCACCATTCCCGATCACAACAACTACTCCAACTAACCCGGTACTAGTAGTAAACCCCATATCAAGCCAAACCTCATTCCAAAACCTTCGTACACTGCTGATAATAAAAAAAACATGAGGAATCTCGTAACTCCTTATCAGATCAACAAGTCATGGACCTCTCTCGCCCCAACCAGAACCATATTCACTTTCTAAGCCGACTTTTAATGTCATCCTACCAAATATACCGTAATCAAACCTGATAGTACCCATTCTAGGTCCAATGACCATGTATTATTAAACA